AGAGGAGGAAGAGGGCAGCCCGGGAAGGGGAAAGGGGTGCGAAGGAGGCCGGAGACTTTAATGAGGGCCGCTCTTGCCTCGTAAATCAAATCTCGGACGAGGATCCCTCCTGCCGCGCGAGACGCCGGGTGATGGAGGAGGGCCGAATTTTCCTGGTCTGCGCCTCGCATGCCCGGACTGCGAGTAGATCCCGAGCGTCTCCAATTACAGACGGGCCCCCATAAGTCGCTACAACGTTGACAAGGGACGTCTGGGAAGGGCTGAAATGTCGTGGCCGTGCTTTCAATCTGGAGTTTGCTGATAGAAGAAGGAGGGAAGAAGGGAAAGCCCCATTCTTGCTACATGGTAGTGGGTGTCCTATGAAAGCGCGGTCAGGCGGCTAATGCATCACGCAAAGGACAATATGCAGACACCCCCCTAGAGAGTTTTAGGGGACCGTTTTTGCACATGCGATACGGTACGATCGGCCGTCCGGTACGCACTGCGCATGCGCCAGTTTTCTGCGGTAGCACGTGCGCAGTTCGTACCGGAAGGCCCATCGTACCGTATCGCATGTGCAAAAACGGTCCCTTAAAACTTTCTGTTATGCCTGCAGCGTACATTGAGACTTTTTGTATGATGTGTGGGCAGTGGGAGGGCGGCTTAAGGGCAATTGAAGTGTACAGCAGTATATAACTAATGACATAGTGTGAGAATAAAAGAAAGGTTGGCTGTAAAACGAGTTGGAACAACGGGCACCTCCACGGGTAAAAACGAAAGTTGGAAGTTTAGTCGAAAGAGTATTTTAGCGCTAAATATCACCTTGTGAAAGAATTAAATATTAAAAAAAAAGCCATACGAAAATTACGCGCGCATTTTTTTTTTTTGATCGGCTAACGGCCTAACAACCATCGAGCCAAAAAAAAGGGAAAAAAAAGCGAGCAAACGATTGGTGTTATTTGGTGCTCATGTCGATCCTGTAACTGGGTTATTATTGCGTAACTCGGTAAGCGCCGGCTTCGATAGCACTGCGAAATTGACTCGCTGTAATTAGAAAAATAGGCGTGAAAGTAGCAAAAAAAAACGTGCATTTTTTTTTAGAAAATAATAGAAGGAAGGAGTTAATTCATGTAAATGCCGACATAATTAGTATCAGCCCAATGTATGCCCCGAAATGAAATTACTAGATGTTTATACGTACCAAGCAAGGAATATTGAACGAGTATACTTTGGTTTTACTGCTGCAAAATTTGTATTGTCATCATGTGGTATATAAGATCCGTTTTGTGCTTTTACGGGCACTTTGCTGGGTTGTTTGTTTGTGCTTGTTTACTCGATTCGCAGTGCCCGTAGGCTGTTGTAAAGTTCAAAGGCACTCCTGGGTGTCGCAATGCCGGACCCCAGTACGCCAGACGCTCAATGAAACACTCTCTGAACATTGGAAACGTCAACAGTTTACTTTTAATGCTTGATTGTGCCGTATCAAGAAGACACTTTCACACATTTAGCGAAAAGCGCAAATACAAGAAAAATAAGCTCATCCTGGAAGAAGCGGACACGATGATAACTAATTCATCACAACCTTTGCCAAGCAACCTACCGCGCTTAGACGACAATGTTGTATGTCTTGTTCGCCACACGTGAGTGCAATAGTTTTGATCAATAACGAGTACTCACGATGAGTGCTATATGCTGTCGAGTTCTAACAAGTGACAAAGTGCGGAAGGTGTACACATAATAATGGAAGTATAGGCCGAGCATACTATCTAACCATACATTTTATGTTACAAAAACGTACACAGTGCGGCAAGAAAATGACGAATTGGAATTTAAACCGGAACAATCAGTACGAGTATTCTTTCGTAGTTGACACCCATTCGCGCTTCCCGGTGACGTAGTCGTCACTTCGAGGATATCGAGCGAAACTCTAAGAACCGCTCGCGGCATGCGATTCGAAGCCACTCCCGTCTCTGGCGTTCATTGCGGACGGAAGTGTCGCTTTGACGGAATCCGAGTGTCCCTATACTTTCACTGGATAGCGTGAGTACGTGAGTCAATAAATGAATACTGAGTTCTTACTTTTTCATTGCAATAAGTGTGCCGGCGGAGTCCCAAATACTATGTTGCCAACATCCCAGCTACATTTAGAGCCGCAAAACGTTTCAATTAAAACCGGCCCTAAATCACGCTTTCTCGTCACGCGATTAATTGGTTTGGACAATGAGCAATCCGGGGAGGAAGAATATGGGGATGCGCCCTTTCTCAGAGAATGGCCTAAAAATTACCCCAGTCCGAAATCCTATAGCAACGTGAGTAATTTAGTCGTATCAGTTCACCCAAGCATTACTTGAATTGTACTATTCTTCAAGCCCAGTGACAGAGACTGGCAGATATGGATGTGTTACCGAACCTAAAACAGAGTTTAAGATTCGTTAATTTCATACTACTGTCTTTGGTATTTATATACTACGCAAGACAGTTCTAGCTGTAACACGACAGCTGTGCTCTCTGCGCACTGCAAGCGCTGCACAGCAGCCGCTACTACGAAACACTGGGGATGCCTGAAACTGCGGAAAAACGCTCTTCAGCCTAATCCCCACTTTCGCCTCTCTTGCACTGTTTTCCGGAACTTGCGCCAGGTGGCGCCAGTAGCACGAGGCGGCAGCCTTTCACGCGTCGCAAAAGTGCAGCATTCTGAGTAGTGGCAGAAAGGGGGTATTGAGGGAATCAATAAACACGTACCCCTGTACCAAATTTCTATTTTTTATTTTTTATTATTAATACTACAGTATCGAACACTTTATTACCGCACTTCGTAAACACTTCGGTGTCATTGTCACAAAATGGCTGCGTATAATATGAATTTAACCTCGTAAGAATGATCTAGTGATCACAGTAAAGTGGCAGGTAGACGCGGCTCATAAGCATGCCCCTTGTAGGGGCGCTTCCCTGGAAAATGACCTCCCCAGAGGAGAAGCCATCTTTCAGTGAGGGTCGCAAAGTTGTTGAAGCGCGTAACATGGTAACGGTTGGAAAAATCACCATGAAAAGTTCGTTAATGACTCTCGTTAAAAAGTGTGCAAAAAATAGTGTCAGGTTCTTTGACTATTGTATTAAAATATTCTAGAAGTTGCTTGTTCAAAATGTTTGTATAGGGTGATTACATCTCTGTTTCGTGAATGTCTTTCTTGTTTCGTGGAGATTGTCGATTTCAAATGTTGTGGTGAGTGAAGTTTGAAAATTAGCGGTTTGTTCGGAACAGTTTTTTTTTATCTCAACACTTTTAGTTTTGTGTAAGTCGGCGTACAAGCAAGCGGTGTTTCACCGTACAGGCACATCGATGTAATCATTCAGTTACCAGCGTTTTGTGCAATCTTGCAGCATAAAAAAAAATAATAATAAAAGAATAAATGCCACGACGAAAATTATTTTGTGCTTAGATTTCAAGCTGGACAAGAAGCATCCGCTGTCACTTGTCGGTCTCACTTCATGTCACGCCGCAGTAGTACTGAAAAGACGAGTAAGCGTTAAGCTAGCGTGAATATCAGGTAAAATAGAGTACACAATAATAAATAAATAAGCAACTATTAAGTGAACGAGAAGGCAACACCAAGGGTCAAAAATAGCATAAAGAACAGTAAATAAAACAAAAACGGAAAGTAACAAAAAAAAAAAACGCTTTTATGCTTTTAAGCATTTTTGTCTTTCTTTTAGTGTGTAGCAAATTAAATCGCCCAGTTCTATATTCTCGATATTATCAGGTAACACTGGTGAGATATCACCTGGCTTTCGCTCCTGTCTTAGCTAGATGCTATAGGTAATCCTAGATGCATTGAAGAATCAAGACAAAACAAAAATCAATGTTTTCACGATTAAAAAACGAAAGCACACACACACTCACAGACTTATCGATTAGAGCGTTAAGATGAAGTCACGCACGAAGTGAAAAAAAAAGAAAGTGAAAAGAATAAAGGGTTTAGATCGACCTTCAAACATAGCACAGGCAGCATGACCGTCGAAAAAGTCGAAATGACTAACACTACTTGAAGAGAAGAAAGTGCATGGCAGGAGACAAGAGTCGCTCGTAGAAAAGGGGCGAGAGAACAGGAGAGAAGGAGGTTGCAGGCGAGAACGAGAGATCGGGAAAAGAAAGGGATGAAAGGTGAGAAGTGTGAGTGAGAGGGAAAAGACGATTTGTGTATAGATAGATCAGCGAGAGCGAGAAAGAGAAAAAGAAAAAAGGTGAGAAAGAGAAAGAGATAAAAAAATATATGAATAAATAAACACAATGAAAGGTGAAGAAGTAAGGGGAAAAACTATTGTTGTGCTATATAGCCCCCTAACACTAAGGTGGCAGTGGAGCGAAAGCTATACTCCAATTCACCTCAAAAACCGTAGTAAAAAAACAAAAAAAAAAAAAAAACATCTGGTGTTATGTGGAACGTTACTGAATTTCCCCTTTCATACGTTGAAGTAAGATATATGTAGGCGCGTGTTAGAATACCTGTAGATTATTTTATCCTTTTATCCCCTTCGCCCTCAGCCCCCTCCCCTCCCCCCCCCCCCCCCCCTTCCCATTTCCCCCTTTTTTTCCTTCTTTTTTTAAAGGTGCACGTATTGTTTTACAAGTTCTCTAAATCTGGTGCTAGCACGGTTCTGGCTAATCGAACTTCTGTGAACGTGGCATTGCTACCGAAGGTGGAACTTGTGTTCGGCGTTACTCATGTGGTGCGCGAAAGCTATGAAGCCTTCGGTTGTTGTTTTTTTTTGTTCGTTGCATACGTTTTATTTTACAATTTTACCTTTGTCGGCGAACTTGCACCCGGTAGGATGTATACACAAATTTATAAATGACCAAATGCGCATGCTTACATTCCACTACAGACTACCGGATCAGCGAGAGAGGGGATGTAAAAAGAAAAAAGGGCGAGAAGAAATTCGAGAAAAAGAGAGAGAAAGAGTGAGAGAGAGGAAGAGAGGTGTTTCTACGAGCTAAGGTGGTGAGTGACCGTAGGCACTACCTGATATTTTTTCTTGGAGCACCTGCGTCCACAGCAGGACTGGAGCAGCGACTTGTCCTCGGAGCCCACCGAAGGGACTGGCGACAGAGGAGGCGTCGAGGACGGACGGTTCGGCTGCCCGTTGTACGGCACCTCGAGCTCCACGAACTCTCGGTCCTAGCGGCGGAACAAAGAGCGTCAGCTACACCTAACGGCAGTGGCTCGTGAACTAGTGAGTTATCTAACCCCAACGGCGCGACTCCCAACAAACGCGCCGGAACGCTGTACCGCCTATACTCCTCACCGAAGTAAACAAACTCCCCAGCCCAGCTCGTGGAATATCCACAGCCCAGCAGGTGCGCGCGTCTCATTGAGCCTCGATTGTGCGCGCGCAGCCATAGCGCCATCGACAGTGGATCTCCGACCCGCCCCAAGCGGCGAACACGCGAAGCTCGACGAGGGTACGCGGCAAAACCGGCAGACGTGTGCGTCTTGGCGTCGACGAGCTCCAGCATCGATTTTTGTTGTAAAAAAATTTGCAACACGCGCTCGCGAAACGCGGACGCAAGATCGTATGTGGCGGTGCGGCGTAGGTCCAACTAAGGCCTCGGTCCAACATAGTTACGAACAGGGTGAGAGCGGCGGGACGTCTCTTTGCAACGTCCGGCCTTCGCATACGCGCCCTATGCCTTCCGTCGTACTTCGGGTGCGCGTGCACGCTAGAGCCTTCTGAGATGCCGAGACGTTATCGAAGGAAGCTCGCGCTGGAGGCGGGACAACTGAAAGACATCACCGCTGTTCTTATATCTTGTAAGCGACGAATGTTATGACGCTAAAGAAGATGGCCTTCTACTATGTCGAGACCGGTTATAACGAAGTCGGTTATAACGAAATAACGGCTACAGCGAAGCGATCACGATTCCCCATTCCCTTTTGCACTTCGTTATAACCGAAGTCGGTTATAAATAAATAGTGGATATAGCGAAGTGATTTCCGATTCCCGTTGACTTCGTTATAACCGGTCTCGGTAGTAGTTGCTATTGGCTAGTACCCTTGTAGCAAGTTGCAGTAAAACTCCCGGAAAATTGCGATTTTGATGGATTTTGTTTTAGGCGACTCACTTAGGGTTATGCCTAACGAACCAGCAGTTGCATATTATCTATTATTGTTTTAATTATTATTGTGTATGGGCTATCAGCTTCTCATTTATCGTTCCATACGGCTCGACTATGCAAACAATCTTGAAGCCTAGTCGTGCACCTGTGCGTAGACGTTGCCGTGTTACGAGGCTTACAGGAGAAAGACACGGACAAAAAAAGAAGGCGCTTTGACGCTCTTTTTAAAACAAGGGCTACGAGTTTAACAGTATTAATCTCAAAGTTTGTTTCTTTATGCTTCGTGTTCGTTGCCCTCTTCATACAGAAATGATTGAGTCGCCCACGACCTTAGTATGTACACTGCTCGACACTATTAACACGAACACAACATTGCGCATTATTATTATTTTTTATTTTGCATATGACGACATTTTGTTTATGATGCCCTCTCATAACGTTCGCGACCAGAATATGCATAGGCGGTTAATTAGACTTTAGATGTTCCGACAGCGTGAGTTCGCCCTGCCAGAGTATGGTGACACTGCTACACGCTGTATATATATAAAAAAAAAATTAGCGAGTGCATTTGTGATCCTTGTGATTCATCATCATTCATCAGTTGCGCGCGACAACTTCCACAGGTTGCGTAAAAAGCACTGTTAGATCTGGTAGCCATTGCGTACTCAACATTATCGCTACTGGACTTGATGTTTCGACACTACCCTAATTATTATCAATGAAAGCAAAATTTCTCTAAAAGAACGTCAAACCGAGTTCTCAGTCAATCATGGAAGAGCCTACCACGGCGACGCTTTTGGTTCGCGCAAACTGAGCAGAACAAAGAACATACTGCTGCGTCTAGTTTAGCGGAATGGTTCGGATTCTCGCTGCTCTTGCTCAACGACGATTCCCACAAAGCTCCTAATTACGGCCGCACCAGCGATAGCATCGGTGCAGCTGCCGGTCCTAACGGCCTCGGCCACCCCAAGATATCCTTCTAGTCAGACACCGTGTACAATATAAAAGAACGACCCAGCCAAATCCCTTCGCCTTTTAATCTTTGTCTTTCGAGGCGCCTTGTCTCCTCGCACAGATCCCAACTGCCATCAGAAATGTCAGACTCCGCTTCTATAAAAAAAAAAAAGGAATGAAAAGGAACCAAAGTCTCACCTAAAGTCAATTTCCCTCGATTCCCTGGCTCGACGTTTATTACCGCCCGTAAGACGCTTATCGAAACCCTAGCGTCTCGCAGCCGCCCGCATCCACGAAGCGTCGTCGTCGACGTACGGTACCCTCAAAGCCGCGCGCAATGCAGGCAAAGCCACGCCAGAAACCTAACAGCAAACGACAGCCTCGCAGAACGAACGTACGCACAGGCTAAGGGAGAACCGCTCGCGAAATGACTCATAAATAAGGCGCGTACGACAACGAGCGACCGACGGTAAAAATGGCCGACATTCGCAGCTTGTTTTTCCCTTTCTTTCCGTCATATTCGTTCTCTGGCTCTATCTTTCTTTCTCCGGCTGCGGCGGCGTTCTTTGACCGAGTTCTCCATCGATTCGCGAGCGCGAGGTATAAAAGAGGCTCGCGAAAAGATTTCCTCTCCGCCCAAAGAGCGCCGGTCGCCTGCATAAGCATCTCGGCCGTATAACTCGCTCGGGGGAGCGCGCGAGAAAGCGCGAGACAATGCGAGAGCTGGGTCGCCCCCGAGCTATTATTAGCAGACGACCGAGGACGCGGAGGGCTGTCGACGTAATAGCGCTCCGCCACTCGGCGGTGACGGCCACACACAAAATATAAAGAAAGAAGAAAAAAAGGTTGTTCCCTTCAAATGGGAAATCGGGACGAAGGGACGCTCTGGAACGAAAGGCTCCACAATAGTCCTAGTTTTTCGCAGGCACTTTCTTGAATCAAGAAAGCAATGTGGCATGTGATCGGGAGGGTAAACCTAACGGATGAAACAATCTGAAGTTCAAGGCGGACTTTAGGCATCGCACGATGTGCTGAGTAGAAACTGACTGTGTCAGTTGAATTGGAATCTGTACCGCATAGCTGACAGCGCTTTCATTCGTGCGGTCGTTGTTCATTTTTATACAGCTGATTAGATAAAAATGAATTACATCAGTAATTCATTTTTATACAGCTGATTTATTTTGAAGGGCACCTCTTCTTTGAATGCTACAGGGAGGTTTCACGAAGTTACCTTTTCCTTACGATAAGCAGATTTCAACCATGTTGATGGACACTGTCCGCCATTTTCCCCATTAGTCTGCGTGAGCTTTTGGCGTCGCTTTTTTTTCTTATGTCGGTGAAGGGCACAAAGATGGGCAGCGGCTCTGTCGAAGACAGAACTCAATAAATATATCAGGAGCGTATTTTGGGCCGCATACAAGTTTCTCTTCTAACAACAAGCGGAGGGGCATGGCAATGTTGTTCCTATCGTGCTTTGGGAAAAACGACGGCGGGAACACCGAATGTGCGCAAATCCGCAGTGGTAGGCGCTGACGCATCGGTGTCCCAGCTCTCTTCAATTTTGGAAGAGCTACAGCTGATGAGGGTTAGCATAGATTCGCTTCAGCAGCTTCGCTCGAAGGTGGACAGCCTTTTGGCATTCAGACCCGTCGTCGAGGGGATGAATGAGACGATCAGGGGAGTTCAGGCCTCGATGTAATTTTCCTCTGTCCAGTACAGCACTCTTTTGGCGGTGGTCACGGCTAATGACCAGGTCATTAATGAGGTCAGGGCTGAGGTGACTGAGCTGAAAGGACATATGCATGAGCAGGCCAGAGAGATTCAGGCTCTCAAAGAAGAGCTGAACATCGACGAGCGGTACAGCCGCCTCCCTAATCTGGAGATTCACGGCCTGACTCAGCGACCTCGGGAACACCTTGGGGAAATCATTGCAGACATTGCGCGCAAGGCGGGCGTCTCCGATTTCCAGCCGTCCGATCTGGTTGCCGCACACCTCCTCCCGAGCGGAAAAAGCGAGACCGCACCGGTTTTGGTCAGGTTCCAACCGGTTGGCGGCAAGAAAAAGTGTATTGTGGTAGATTTCACGCACTAAACCAGGGGTCAATGCTGCAGCGTCTGTATTTCAATGACAACCTCACTAGGTTCAACCGTGGGCTCTCTTGGATGGCTCCTTCCCGCCCCAGAGAAATGAACTTCAAGTTTGTACGAAAGAGGGACGGCAACGTTTTTGCGAAGAGAGACGAGAAAGACCGTCCCATCCGAATTTACCAACACGCTGATCTGGAAAACATAATGTAACTTGATGGCTTTGTCTCAGTTTTCTTTTTCTAAGCTATCGAATTTTTAGAGCCTTAAAAGTCGGCACCACATATATACTGTGGTACACGTAAATATTTGCAGCATTAGAAAATATTGGGATCAGTTCTGTTTTTTTGATAAGAGATGTCACCGACGACGTTGATCCGTTTGTACTCTGGGAGATCAACGCTCATGAGGGATTAACTGAATGTTATCATCTTGATGGTTTTAGTACATTTTGTTTCACACGACACGGAAGAAGAAAGGGGGGGGGGGGGGTATAGCCGTATTTGTAAAGAATTTGTGGCACGCAAAACGTCAAGATCTCACGTTGGAAGCATCTGAATACTTAGCTCTAAAAATGACAAACTTTTAAAGTAGTTTCTTTCTGCTCGCTCTGTACAGAACCCCATCTGATAGCATTGCCAGCTTTATTCAAGAGCTCCGGATGAAACTCGAGGGTCTGGAGGTTGAGCGGTGTCTATGCATTACGGGACATATTAACATCGACACGCTGATACTTTCTAATGACCACATGGTAGATTACTTAAACTTGCTTGGGGAATTCGGAGTTGACTGCCTGATTGCCTCGGCCACAAGAGAAGAACATCTTTTGAACATGTTGGTGTAAACCTGTATGGATCATTTGAACATAAGAGCGCCTGACGCTTCAATCAAATGAGCCGTGATTGGCCAGAAATTGGCGGAGAATTTCTTTGTTGCGCGTCGTCGTGCCTTTGGAAAAAATCTGCCGGAGCGCTCCCAACCCCGACAAACAATCATGATACTTGATTCGAAACGCTATGATGA